TGAGTCCAGTACATCCGAGTCGAGTTCAGCTGAAGAAGCTTATACAATAGAGGAGGAACCCAGGGAATCAGTTTTTATACCACTTAACAAAGTAAAATATGTGAAGAAAAGATCTGATAATAAGAAGGTGAAATGTAAAAGATATCCATTCCGTTCTGTTAATGTTAAATCAACTAATTATTGAATCAGGTAAACTAACTAGTAATGGCTAAGAAATCGAGGAATAATAGGCGCAAGATTACAAGGCCAAAGGCGCTTTGCATAAGTTCACTACTAACCCCATGCAGTATTTACCATTATGCAATCTGGTCAAATATGATCACACATATGATAAGGCAACCAGCTTTATAACTGTCAAAAATATAAAATAAAACAGAGTTGTAAGCGTGTTTGATTATCCTGAGCTATGTGAATATCTGAAGTCAGGTGCTCATCATTAATATTATTTTTTTCGATTAAAGATATAGACACATATAGCAAGTATAGGATTTAATAGCAATTTGCACAATATGGAAAGCTTAGATGATATTATAGAAGATGTGAATAAAAATATTAAAAAGGTGTTTCTAGCAGGGGTTGCACCTGAATTTTGACAAGAAGTCTATATAATTGGTCTTAAATTAACATTGGATAGATTGGCACAGGAGCTAGAGTTTGCACAAAAAGATGATTGTTCTTCTAAGCCAAGCAATCTAGAGCAGTAATCTTCAACTCAGAAGAATTTACTGAGCCAGCGACAGAAAAATAAGTGGATCATCAGACAGGTTATGCAACATAATTTTCGCATATCAAAAAGTTATAGTTAGTTTTCTTATTTCGCGGGATCGCTAAGAGATTATCGGCTGAAGGCACTAATCATGAAGTTTTTTTTTATTGATTTGCAAGGGCTAATGAATGACGAAATGCTGTATGTAATTGCTAACGAGAATCTGGCAATATCTTTCTTCTGTACATATACCAGCGTTATATAAAACTGGCTAGTTGACGATGAGAGTTAAATCAACTGAATATGTCGGGCTTAGAATCAACCAAAGATCCTTTTTACCAAGTACTAGAGAGACCCCACTCATCTCTTACCATCTATAGAAACCTTACCTATAATATCTTGAAGTATTTCGAGGATAAAATGGTTAAGGATAAAGAAATTCTGGAACTAGAGCCATGTTCCGAATGTACGAACAATATTCTAAGACTTCCTTTCAAAGCACTTACAATACTGTCATGTGAGCATCTGTTTCATAGATTGTGCATCGAAAAGAAGCTCATGATTATTAGGCCAGACGTGTGTCCATTCCCTGATTGTAGGATGAAAGTTGATATCATATATCCAGTCTCTACCTCTGCTAGGAGAGGTTCACTATCATCCCAATCAAGTGGAACTTCGGCCTTATCTAATTTGATGGGCGAAAAGTTTAACCTATTTTCACCAATACCAGAAGATCTGATAAAGGAAGTTGAAGATACCTGCCCAGCCGAAAATAGTAGTAAGAAACGAACTAGTACATCCACCGAAGAGTCATCTAGTAAGAAAAAGAAGACATCTGATAAGGAAGGCGATTCTGCTATGTTGAAAAAGCTTGTTAAGGTGCTAAAGGATGATAGTATCAATCAAGAATTGTCATTCCCCACCCAGTTACCTGAAGATAGTTATACTCATCTCTATAAAGAAATCGTTAAAGCCGAAACTCAAAATGATTCTGCTAGTCAAAGGGTTTTATTTTGTTACTTCCAATTCGGAAAGAAGATATACGAGCGTCTGAATTATTATAAGAATGAAAAAAAGTATCGCGATCGCATAGCCCAGAGTAAGGTAGATAAAGAAATTAAGGAGCAGTTACCTGAGGGGGTTACTGATACTACTCGCTGGAAGCAAACAGAAAGAGCTCGAAAGATATATGAGCTATTCCTCGAAATTGGTATTGATAAGATACAACGAGTTAAATCATATTCGGCACTAACAATTTCGAAGTTAAGTTGGGAAAAAATCGATTATATCATAGATAGCTTTAGAGAATAGTGAGTCTATTACTGCGCCACACGATCATGTGACTTGCTGACCTCGCGGTCAGTAGATTCATTTTATTTTTGTATGCCATCCAAAATAATAAAGTTCGCCCATATCCCGGACAGCCTTTCTCATTTCTTTATTCATGTGTATCCTGTAAATGCTGTATGAGTACTTATCAAATAAAATAATACATGCAATCATGAGGGATCTGCAAACTAATCTACATGCGTATGAATATAAAATTACCCCTTTTTTCTTTACTATTCGCTCAGAAATTTCGTTTACCTTAGGTAAGGAAAAATCATGTGACCGAAATTTCTGAGACCAGCCGATCATCTCGTGATTTGAGTTGTGAGAAGGTTGCGAGAAAGTGCCGGGAACTGTCTGGGAGCTAGGGTGATACCTGTGATATGATAACGTCATGCGAGGCTAATCCCTGTTAATCACGAGAGATCCACACAGCCTGTATTAAATCATCTTATACTCCGAATTTCTGGCGATCATACCTCTGATTAGCTATTATATGATCTCGAACTAATTTAACCGAATTATGCCATTGGAAAATCCCTTACA